AGAATGAAAAATTTAGAGGATCACAAACTTGCCCTTTCCCGACATCTTTTATTGTCATTTTTAAGGGTCTGCATGGGAGGTCCCGATCGCACTTTGCGTGCTAATTTCTGTAAGGCAGCTGCCGCGATTTACACTTGTTTAGGTTGGGTTCACGTAGATTACATTTTATTTAAATCAGAGTTGTTCAACTTCAAATTATGCAAATTGAAATGGTGCAGTATGCTGCAAAGCAACGACCACGTATTACGGTTCACTTGTACTGGCTGGACGTTTTATTTCACAAATGACAGTTTAATGGTGAATACATCGACTCGACTTTCTATTATGCAAACCTAAAACGAATTATTACGCATTGCGGCATGCAGACCCCATTTTTGAAAGAGTTCATAAATAAAAGTCAACTCACAGTCAAGTCCGATGTTCTCTTCTCTTGTAGGTAGGCAACAGGTCCTTCAGAAACAGGTACTAGTAGATCCTCCTCGAATATAGCAGGAACACAGGATAGCTGACAGATCCTCCTAGAATGACTGGACAGGTACACAGGATAGCTGGCAGGTCCCACAATGTCAGCCATACATTAGCAGCATGTCAAGCCTGGGGTATGAAAGAAATACACATTCAGAAAGATGACATGCCAAATATTACAATCCTCACAGAGCATCATACATTGCAATATTCACATCATTTGTTTCAGTTCTGACAAACCAGCTTTGGGTCAGAGGCAAGAGAAAATTCCGACGGGAAAAAGAGTAGAGCAAAATTAGTCAACATTCAATCAAAAGTAAACATAGAATATCATGACCATGGAAAAATTACATGAATCTCACATAAGATACCTGAGAACAGTCACCAACACACAAAATGCTCTTCAAACATCAGTTTAACATCATTGAAGCACATCTCAAGGCAAATTTACTACATACATCAAACATTTTGTCAATTAACTGTTTCACACAATGAATAAAACGAGCGTATCTAATGTACAGTCTTGTTATAGTTAGTTTAAAGCGGACAAGAAAAAAAGTGCAACCCATGGCCAAGGAATCGTCACTGGCGCAAAGAATTCACGACATTCTCACACCATTATCACGCCATTCTAGCTTCTTCTTTCTTCTTCTTTCATTTTGAGACAGCCGCCTTCAACTACCTGAAGATTCTGCTGCCTTTTTGTGGCTAAATCGAGATGGGGTTCGCCAGGCCTCCATCCAAAAAAGTCGTGTATTAAAAGTGCCTTTCCCAAAGGCACAAGATCGGAGACATGGCAGGGTTCGAACCCGGGACCTCGTGGTTCCGAGCCGAACGCTCAGAGACGGTGCCGTTAAAGCCACACAACCCAATTTCATTGCAACGAACTCGGCCCAAAAAGTCATGAGAACATAAAGGACAATGTTAAATGCGACTCACCGCCTTAAACGCACGTAGTTCGTCTTAAAAGACGAATTTTAACCACCGAGTTCTTCCCTGTCCAAGCGCCATCGTCATCTTGCTGCAGCGTGGTCTCACCACCTGATAAAGGAATAACCATAATTTGCATGTTCTCAATTAAGTAATTAAGTTAGATTGAACACCGGTGTGGTCATAATTTGCATTTCTTTGTTAAGCTTTAAAACGTTTTAGACCAACACTATTATCAGTATACTAGTAGCATTATTTGCCTTTCGGTCGTATTTCTTGATCGCCGAAACGTCGCCAACTCCAAAAATCACCCTTGAGTTAAGGCCAGTTAAGCGTATTTCCTCCCATATACATGTACATCCAACTGGATCGGTGACCGGCTCAAAAATATGCAACATTAAATTAAGTACAGGTGCCGCCCCTCCCCCTTCCGTGAATTTCTTTTAGATAAACGTTACTATCTTTCATTGACCATCCTTTGATTTAGCAAAACAATTGACGTCGACAACATCACTCTTCCTGACAGAAATAAATAAACTTTGCATGTCCACGGCGGAGAAACGCACTAAAAGTGTCCTAATTATGATTACCGCATCGTTTAAAATCCAAAGCTGCTCCGTCCTTGGTCACATTCTGTGTTTCTGACACGTTAAATGGCCATGTATCAAAAGCGCCCCTACAGCGGCGAAAAAAATCACTGCGGTTTCAGGAGCATCCCAGCCAAAACACTGGTTGATAGCGCCATGGATCAAAAGCCCCCCGTGGCGGCGAAAGGTTATCACTGCAGTAGCAGGGGCAGCGTCATAGCCAGCATATTGCTGCAGTCCTGCATTTGACTGCTAGGGGTCGCTTTTGATACGTGCACTTCACCTTCCTCGAGCTTGCAACGTGTAACTTCACAACCTGGTGTCCGGTCCTATCATGGGTTGAATGGGCTATCTTTGAGGCTCTAGACCAGGAACTCTCCGCCGCTGGGCGTAACTACGAACTCGGCAGGAGTTCTGCACGGCTGCGGTGGAACTCCCACCGCGGCAAAACCGACAACAGGTGCCGACACTCGGACAGGTTGCCATGATGAAGCCCGGCGCGGCGAAGAGCGTCTACCGCCCCAAGGATAGCCTGTCTGTTCCACGGTAGACTGGATACCGTGCTAGTACAATCACGCGGAGAAGTGTACCGATTTTGGAGGAATGTACGCTCAAAACTGGAGGAACGTCCGCTCACCTGGAGGAGTGTACGCTCAAACCTGGAGGAATGTCCGATTTTGTGAGGAATGTACCAATTTCGGAGCAATGTCCAGATTAGATTGGTCGGGGTGTAATTATAAGAGTTACCAACAAGGTAAAGAGAGGGATACGCTGCCGTGTCTTGAGTCCAACTTTTTAAAATCTATCAGTTAGGAAGTTTACGGACAGTTTGTGCATTCCACGGTCAGTCAAGGTTAGTCCTACGTCACCCCCATCAAGCAAACTCCTTTCAAGCCGTACCCGGAAATTCAAGCCGTACCCGCTCAAAAATTCTGGCCGTACCCGGTAATTCGTGCCGTACCCTGTACTTTTTCGCTGTACCCATTGGCGGATATCGCTCAGCCCTGGTAACGGCTAATTGGAGACGGTTGAAGCGGCGGCGGCAAGTTGACTGAACCGTGGACGGTGAACAACACTACTCGCCCTTGAGCACAACTCCACAAGATACTGATGATTTAGGAAATATGCCGTTCGTGACGAAAGTCGGAAAACGGGGCGGAAGAATTCAGCAACCTGCTAGTAGCCACTCAGAAGTACGGGCGCGGGCCGGATAATATCCCACCGGCTATCGGTGCAGTACACCTGTGCCGCCGCGTTTCTCTCTGTCAACCGGTTGGATTCGACGGGCTACTGTCGCTAGTGGACCGAGAAGAAATCACCCTGACCCGCGGTACTATCCAGGTTACTAACTTAGAGGAATTTTAGTCACAATTTCTGCTGGCAAATTTCTTGTTTTTCCGCCGGTGGTGGAACCGGGCGGCCTCGCCGGGCCGGCTGCTAACAACCGCCGGCCGCGCGGGGCCTTCCAACCCGCCGAAGACACCCAGCTTATCCCCTATTACTGCACCTTTTCTTAAAAATGAAGTAATAAAAAGTTTGTATAACATTAGATTAAGTTATCTGTGGTAGAAATATGGCTAATATGGCTCAATTTCTGTTGTATTCCGCGATACAAACAACTGTACTTTGAGAATAGCCATTTCCTGTTGCCGCGGCATCGCCGCTAGTTTCTCAGAAAATTGTGCATTCTGCAAACTCGGAGACCATGAACTCACCGAAAAATACGACAAAAACTTCAACGTACGGCTTTTCTTTTCGGTGGGGTTTGTAGACAATATAAAACGTACGACAGAACCGCTGAGAAGTTATTGATAATACTTAGCGTTTTCTAGAAAAATAAATATTTGTGTTTCAAACAAGTAATATTGGTAACCCCCAAGAGACCCTAATTTCGGCCTGTCAAACCCGGAAGTGAGAAATCGGGACCACCTGTAACAGTTAGGAGATTTAGCCCACTCGCGGATTTGAGCTATTTGGGAATGGGCAAACCTCGGAAACTCGTAAGGGGGTTTCAACTTTTTTCGGAATTTTTCACATTATGACTTTTTCCACGGGTTAACACGCCGAAAACTGGTTGTTTTATTTTTGATACATTTAAAGTGAAATAATAAGCCACAAGTTATTGAAATTCTCGGGATTTAAGAGACAAGAAAAATATTTCGTTGTTGAACTGAATTTCATTTCTGTACTTCTCAGGTTTAATTCTATTTGTCAAATACATGTATAGATACAAAGAATGACTCATTTTACACACCATACTGCAGAGTTTTTATAAATTTAACCATTTTTAAAATGTTTTGCACCTATGTCTAAACAGCAACCCGACTATTACATGTATTAATTGTATACTGTCACTCCGCCATCTTTGATGCGTTACGCCAAATTTACCTGGTTTTCACACTTTGTTTGACAGAATTCATGTCTGGCGTTTCCTCATTACCACAATCTTGTGGAAATATGATAACTTTGAACTCCTCTGCTCAAGGCCGACTTTCTTGTGCACACGCCTTCGCTCTATCTCCGCCATGTTATCTCATATTATCTCCAAGCAGATGTTAGGAGGCTAAGTCAAAACGTTTTCCTCGCTTCATAGTTTCTCTCGCAAACTGTCTGCCACTAAGTTAGGGAAGCAGTTTGTAACAGAAAAGGGCAGCCAGGAAAACAATTTGATTTCCCTCCAAATTTCTACTTGAAGATGCTCTATCCAGGCATTTATAAGCTATCATGTATAACAATTGCAGGTTTCTATTCCTAATTTTCTATGCCCAGGGAGGCAACCTCTAGATTCATGATCAACTACCCTCACCCAAAAATTAAATGTAGCATTAGCTCTAAAGTCAGTCAAAGGCCAAGAGACAAAAATGTTCATCATCATTGGCCAGGTCAGAAGTTAGTGTTTGGAACAGAAGAGGAGGAAGAAACTGAGTAAAAACAATATGTTTTCCTTCGGTAAACATAAATAACCTAGTATGTTCTACCAACCTGATGAAACTATTTTCGGAACAAAATTATACAATATCTGTGTGTAGTGTCCTTTATTAATATCATTAAAATAATACATTTCACTTACACAGCTGAATTGACAATGACAAAATATCCTTCATAGTGCAAAGGACACTTCACAATAATCATGGTTACTGCTGTAATGTTCAAATTAGGAGCTAAAATAACTTAGGGTAGTCTACAAGCTTCAAACAATATCAGGACAAACTCAACCATTAAAAACATGTTTCAAGACAAAATAGATGCTAATATAGAAGGAACTCAAACCGTGAACATCTAAAAACGATATGAGGTACGTGTATAAGAAGAAAATAATCTTTAGTATGTGATGAACAAGATCAAAATGGTGCATAGTGGACTAGAGGTGAACCAACATTATGTAAACACATGTATCTGCTTTTACAGTCAATAGGCGTACACTATTTGGACTTCTACGTTACAATTTCAAAGTCAGGATTACTTCAATTAATATAGGATTGGCAACTAATATATCCATGAAGTATACATGTATATACAGTTTTAGTCACCTTAAAGCTAAAACCTTTGCAAAAACCTCATTAACTCGATTGTCCTCTGATCCTTACACTATATCCACTCACAAAACACATAACATCAAAAACAAACGTTTTTACGATCCAGAGTTAAAAAAACAAACTACAATGTATAACATTTGTAACATTACTCAAAACTAACATGTAGAAAACATACTGTTGGAGTTTGTATAATACTAAAGCACTGTTGCATATACAGTGTATTATATAACCAGTAAAAATTGTCTAAGTTATAAACAAGCACCATTATCATATATATAGATACATTATATTGAATACTGAGAGGTTATATGTAGTGATAGCACCTTTGTGAAAGTTGTGAGAGATAAAACTAGTCTATAATAACCTAGTACATGTATTAAACATAGATAAGTTCCTTGTCTTGGTTGAGCGCAAAACGTACAATGTAGTATAAGTACCTACACTGTAGGTCTGAACTACAATGTACAATGGCAAGATGCGAGATTTACTTATTAATAACTGACAAAATTTGGTAAAGAAAACAGCCTTACTGTAGTCTCTGTTTACAATATTTACTCAAGTACATGTTACCTGTATGTGAACTGTAAGTTGTTTTATCAATCTAATTTTTATTTTCCAACAATTGAGGTATGGTAAAATACTGACCAATGATCATTGTTGTTCCCAAGTTCCTATAAGTTAGTTGCCTTGATTTCATACAATTTTCCCTTGCAAATCGTCTAACAGTCTCCTTATTCTTACGTGATCAACTTTTTCTTCCTCAAAGATTTTTTGAACATGTTTTTAAAAAGTAAACTACCCTGAATGACATCTAATAAAACTTGCACATGTACATTCTACTATCACTATCGGTTATTCATATTTTGAGAGTCTTTTTTTTCTGGTCATGGAATGACAAAAGGTTTTGGTAAGATGATCTACGCTATAAAAAATTGAGTCAGCTTAAAAAACAAAAACCCTTTTTACCTAAAAATAGTGCTGTCATCCAAATCAACAAAACAATTTCCATACTTTCTACTTCATTGGAAACCTATCAAAACATTACCGAATAGTCTTGACTAATATATATGTTTTACAAATACTAGATTTTGGCACAGTAAAATTAATTATATAATACACTGAGCTCACATTATGATGGTGTTTCAGTAAGTTCAAAAGTTTGAACTGTGCATGCACAGTGTATAATATGTTACAGTGAAGGCCCCTGAGATTTAAACAAAACAAGTCTAAAATGGCACATAGTCTAAAACATGGTTTAGACAAGAACTGTTCATAAACTAAGGGGCTTTCAACTTTTACATCTCACATGCAAAGTTCAAACAGTGAAACGGCTTATACTGTACCAACATGTTATGGCCAGACTAAAGAACACTTCTATATTTTTCAGTTAAAATTCAAATTTCAAGCTACACTATCAACTGTTTCTCTCTGCAACAAGCACAAGAGCTTCCATCCAGCCAGACAAGCGTATAAATCTGTGTACTGTTGTGTAGTTCTCACAATCCCCCAATATATTCCAACAAATATACATGTAAAACTACAAGGGCTGGACTACCGTATACGTCGTCCTCATATCAGCCTAGTTCTTCATACATACAAGGGTGTCAAATAATATACAAAACTGAGGGTATGAAGACAAGGGTTTTAACTACTTCCTCCTAAAGTTATAAAGTCTGTGGTGCCTTTTGTGGGTGTTTTCTATGCAGAGTACGATGTAGGAACTAGAGCAGCTGTACTGCTCCTGTCCTAGTAGCAGGCCGGTCTGGAGAGAGGACGCCATGCCGACGTAGCTGACGTCGTTTTCCCGCCAGGCGCTGCAGAAGTGGTCGCCGAGACGCTGGCCGTCCATGTTTGTACCGTGCCAGATTCGCTTGTGCGGCCTGGAAAACAAGTCGGCACAAATCTTAGTGAGCAAATCTCAAAGAAACTAGAAAGGTAACATTTTCAAAAGTGGTACATGCAGTACAAGCAAAACACGGTTGAATTATGGTATGGAACTTTTGGTATGAAACTTTTGGAAGCCCGTGTGATAACTGATAAACCCCCGTGTGATACAGCTGATTATCACATGGGCCAGAACACCTTTATCAAACGTTATCAGATGACTGGTTTTATTCATTCACATAAACATACAGGTTAAAAGTCTGTGGCAGCCTAAATGGCTGAATTGCTGACTTCTTACAATTTAAAATCTTGAAGAATATCAGGATCCAGGTACGACATGATTCTCAGTATAATGCTTCAAGTTTAGGACTCTATCTCTCACCATGTAGGGTTGAGAAGCGGCTGTGTCCCGTTGAAGGTGTAGATGGCAGTGTTGATGTCAAAGGCTCCTCCCTTGTACTTGTTGGTCTGTCTCTCACCCTCAAATATGGAGTTCCAAGATGGGAACAGAATCTCGTCCTGTGTGTTAATAACAAGCATGTTCTTCAGACATAAATAGCATTGACTAACTGTAGTTACATGCTTTACTCCTGTGTGTATGAAGTTTTGTTTTTAGTAGATAAGTATGTCTATCTCCTTGTACAGCACATCCATAGTTATACAGACTGACAGGAAGGTCAAATTGGAGTTCAAAATTGTCTCCCCACAGACTGCCATGAGAGGAAAGGAATATGCACAGAATCAATTAGAAATTCAAATCAATGAATAAAACAAGAAATTCACAACTCTAAATGACTACAGCTACTTGACAGAAGCTGAATTTCATAGAGCCTGAACATGACATTAGAACCTTGAAATTGACAGTCAAAGCTTGACAGAGCCTGAACTTGATAGACCCAAAAATTGAGAGCCCGGACTAGACACAACCTGAACTTGACACATCCTGAACTTGACACAACCTAAACTTGACACAACCTGAACTTGACACAACCTAAACTTGACACAACCTGAACTTGACACAACCTAAACTTGACACAACCTAAACTTGACACAAACTGAACTTGACACAACCTGAACTTGACACGACCTGAACTTGACAGAGCCTAAACTTGACAGAACAAAACTTGACAGAATCTGACCTTGAGGTTGACAATGGGTATCCCGTCCCTGTCTCCTCTGCTGACCACAGAGCTGAGGTCCTGCACCTTGGATGACAGGAAGGCTCGGTACGTCCCCCGCAGACCTGCCTGCCGCGCCTGCTGGAAACACTTAAAGTCTGCTCCACGGATACCGTACATGTTCCCTGTCATCGGCTCGTTCAGGGCAATCAGGTGTAACTGTGGAGATGAAACATATTTGTTGTGTGTTTTTAACAAGCTCAATTCTTAAGTGCAACAAGTCAATGTGTTAGCTGCTTAAAGCTGCATGTAGCAACATTGTAAATTTCATCATGTGCTCAAATCATTGCCCCATCAAGAGAATACACACGATCATGAACAATTTAAGTTCAACTAATATCTAACACAGCTATCAGAGTTGTTTCACTACATGACTACATACCATTTTCCCAGTAGCCTTGCCCAAACCACCATCATCAGGTGACCCTACCAGCTGTACAGTGGGAGCATCCACCTGTAATGAGAAGTACAGATATGACTAAGTGCATAGACAGTGTGTAACTTGATCATGGGAGCTTCTAGTTTAGAAAAATGGTGACCCGATTAGCTCGTAGAAAAGACATCAACTGCAATATGGGAATGATCTATCAACTACCACTTAATTATTTTGGTATCAGGAATGCTTAGGTAAGCATGCTATTTTATGACATAACACTTGGACTCTAAGCTTCAAAACTGTTCTTTCCAATTTAATATTTCTATAGCTACTCCAAAAAATTTAATTTTTATCTTAGAATTGAGGGTTGGCACAGCCTTAGATTCAGCAATACATGTACTTGCAAAAGTTAAGTATGCACATATCAATTAGACACTGCAGCATACAGACAAATGGTGGCAGCCTTACTTCTGATCCAAAGAATCCATTGTTGAACCCGTTGTTGGCATGCCCTGGGTTTTCAGCCGAAGCCTCAGGTTGCTAGGATATGGGCAGGGGTGGGGGGTTGAAGCAAGTTGAAAGCAAACAAACATTTCATGCGGAGCAAACATAACAGCCATGTTACGAGTTTGGTTGCACAAAAATCACACTGATGCTGTCAGAGGTACACAGAAATCAGTTACCAAAATGCAAGGAGGCAAAATCATGACACAGATGCAACTCAATGCGCAAAACCACATCCAAACAGTCCTAGAGAAGTGTTACACCATTTCTCAACAACGTCAGACAGAAAAAAAGATGTCCCAAATCATATTGCAAACAAAAGCTCATGCATGCAGCTGAGTTGATTAAGAATGTTACATTTCTAGACATTTCACCAGTTGTAGGTTTTAGGTGTTTCTCTACTTAGTAACTAAGAAAGTTTTGAATAAGGTCAGAGTGGTATTGTAGACTACTAAGTGGCTAGTGGCACATTCCATGTTACAGCCTTGTATGATGATATACTCACTATTGGTGGCCTTTCAGGGATGGACATGATCTTTCCAACCTGTGTCGAAAGACAAAACAAGATGGCTGTCAAAATGTGAGGGACAAAAAATGTCTGTTACCATGGTAACCGTGATGATTTGTCGTAGCATTGCTAGTACTCCTTTGGCAGGGAAGAAGCAAAATTAACCAGTTAACATAGCTTCCATTCCTTCATTGAAGTCAAGCAAGCAGTTTAACATTATCACAAAGCTTTATGTGACCTTTTGAAGCCAATGTAATAATTTCAATACTTTAGACTGGGCCATGCATTAGAAATGGTATTTCATGCTGAAAAGTAAATCTTTCTTATCTCTTGAGATGAGAGTTCAACATTCAGTAACACAATAATGAGTTTTAGGACCATAAAACTTATCCCAACTTATTAAAACTCTTTTAGCATTACCTTGTTTTCTTAATCCATGCTTTTACCTTTAACAATGTGTATCTCCAGTGTTAGCTAAGATTTTCAAGTCTATAAAAGACCATCCTTTTAACCAATGACAATGAAATACGACAATTCCTGACATAGTCAAACATGGTAGGCATCATCAAATGAACAAAGACGTTTGGCCAAAAAACACACTATTCCGATGTCAGAGAACATTAAATCTTACAAATAATCCTTCCAGTTCTTAATTTGATGTTCCCTAATATCAAAAGAGCGTATTTTTTGTCCAAACATCTTTGTTCATTGAATAATGCATTTGACTATATTCAGAAACTGTTGTATTTCAGTGTCATTGGTTTTTCATGTCTTTAAACATTCGACATTACTGGAGAAGAACAGGGTGGACAGAGGTGTACCTGAACTGTCGGTCTCAAGGGTTGTGTCTTTGGTACCCAGAATGCAAAGGGGGGAAGAGAGGGAAGAAGACCATCATTGAGCCTATCCTGCGTATGTCAACATCCCTAACAAGGCTGTCTTCATTCTTTCACATTGTCTTTTACCAAATTTGTCATAATTTGAGTCATACACACTTTCGAACAATTCTTCCTAAAGGGTCTGGTGGGCCATTTGGCTAGTAGCTCATCACTTTTTTGTCCTATTATTGCATTTTACTGAAAAAATGAGATGCCTTCTGTATCAAATCGGGAAGTTGTGTAGCTTAGTCCGGAAAAAATTTGAAATCTTAATACCTGCTGTTTCCTGCATTTTGAGGGGAAAATTTTGCTGGTAGATTAAGCTTAGTTTAATGACATCTTTTTCCATATCTTTACTCCGAATTTTGTCTGTCAAAGATGACAGAATGGGCAAAATTTTTGTCTGTCTTGAGAGGCAAAAAGGCAGAAAGGTGGACACTGTGTAGAATGAGTTTTTACTCTTTTACATGGTGCTGATATTGAAAAGCAACATTAGTTACATAAACTGCCAATGAGTTTGATTATTTGGCTGTTGTTTCAAGTGCTGCAAATATATATTAAGCTGTTTTTTTCATCAGTTGAGTCAATTTAAGAATGCAAAGTAAAAAGAACCCGGAGGTTTATGACAGTAGAGAGGAAGACAAGGTTAAGCATTGTGACAACAAAAAGTACAAGGTGGCAAGGAAACAAAATTCAAACTTAACACAACGTGAACTTAAATCTATGTGTTGCAAACATCAAAACAACATAAAATCAAAGCAATCAAAACAACAAAAAGGTACATGACTTTACAAGACAAAGATTCTGTGGAAAATGAAGTGTGCCAACATATTTCAACCTGGAGGATTCTGTGTTACAAATACAACTCAACTGACTTTGTTTCTTCTTTAAAAACATTAGACAAACTACAATTAACAATGACAGTGCAGACATATGGTATTGTTGAGTTTTACAAATTAACAAAAAACAAATGTTATGGAAGGTACCACTTCATCAAAAGGGGTGCGCAGCCCTTACCAGGATGATTTGCCAGCCGTCCCGTACTCTCAGGTACAGCTGTTCTGTGTCAGCGATGAAGGCCAGAGTACCGGACGAAGACGGTGGGGAACGCAACAATTGGCTTTCACTATTGAAGGTGATAATCTGTAAAAAAAAAACAAATTTCAGGGTTTACTACTGTGTTGGGTTGGAAAATTCTATGAAAAGAGACCCTGATCCGAGTCTTTGTTGACAAGAACTCCTATCAGGATCTCTGCCAGCAGAATCACTGATTTTTGATAAAGTAAGACAGTCAGAACTTTTCAACTTTGATTCATGACACTTATGCCAGTGGATTGACATGAAATTTAGAATATAGATTTATCAAACATCTATGTTGCTAAGGAGCTTTTTCCTCATTACTAAAACTACATAAAAGATACTAAAATTGCTAACTGATGTTCCATCCTCACCCCAGCAGCCCGACCAGGCGGCCCAGGAGGCCCGGGAGGTCCCATGATGCCACTGCCGATGCTGGCTCCAGGCTGTCCAGGTCTGCCGGGGGGGCCGGGTAAGCCGGGCGCTCCGATCCCTGCTGGGCCGGGCGGACCACGGGGGCCGGGGGGACCAGACGGGCCGCGGCCGGGGAAGCCGGGAGGCCCACGGGGACCCTACAGTATGGCGTGAAGAAAAAATCAATTTGAGAAATGAAAATTCATCATGACAATGTACAATGTGGTAGAGAAGAAATGATGTCATCTTCAAGTCATTTTGTTGCATGAAAATATTATGCTAGTTAATCAAATTATTTATCAATCAATCAATCAATCAATCATCTGCGGGCGTCGGTAAAAGCATGGCGGCTGTAGACAGTTGTCTCAAGAGGCTTCTGTTGGCAGAATGATCTAGCAGAAGGACTATTGTTTCTAATGCAGAACAAAACAGTTATAAAAACGACTACTGGTACTTAGTGATGGCATTTCAGCACCAGTTAGAGCTACCACTAATTCAGCACCAAGGACAGAACCCATCATTTTACTACAATGTCCTAGCCCCTAGCAGGCTTCAGGAAGTGGCTGGAAAGAGTAGAAATTGTCCAAATTGACAATTTCTTCTCTTTCCTGCCACTTCCAAAGCCTGGTAGAGGCTAATAATGTCCAAGATTGTCCAGAAACGTTACCTGAGGACCAGGAGGGCCTGTAGGACCCTGCACCACCTGTCCACTGCCTCCGAAGAACCCACCACCTGGTGCACCTGGAGGACCTGGCAGTCCCTGTTGTACAAAACATTTGTTAAACTTTGTTGCATTTAATCAAAACACTTGTTTTGTGCAGTAGGTACAAGCTACATAAGACTTCACTGTAAGTTTCCATCCATTCACACTGTGATGTACCCCTACTGGCACCGTTCTTTAACGTCCTATAGAATCAAGTACTGATACTATTTATATTGTACAGGCTTATTTGCCTGTCAACACTTTCCTTATTTGCTTGCAACACTTTCCTACAAATGAATGTAGGTATTAAACTAACTAAAGATAGATAAGGCCCAAGGTTGACATACCGTATCTCCTTTTCTGCCTGGCAAGCCAATCTCTCCTTTCCTTCCCTGTAAAACAGACAAGTGCAGACATGTATATGAGCAACATGTTTTGATGCATAGAAAGCATAGAATGCTCGATGAAACCCAATGATTTTTTCAGTGTCTGTTTGTGTGTTTGTGTTTCCATATTTATTTCCACATGCTTGGCACATCAGGGACATGGACAGGAATTTAGGTCAAAGGTCCCAGAAAAGGGTATTTCATTTCCTGTCTTTAATTTCCTGCTATCTGCATGCCTGTTGCCATATTGGAGTGAGTGGGAAAATGTATACTAGGCAGCATTGTAACGCTATAACATTAAGTCTAAGAATTACATAAAATTAGTACTGGAATTCCAGTAGTGACTTCTTTGTCATCTCCATGGCCGACACTAAATATTCGACTCCTTACCACAGTACGGGGATTTTTGCTCAACAGGATAACACATGGACCTGTGTCAAGTTACAATTTTGCAATAGAGAAACACAGTAACAGTAACAACACTTGAAGGCGTTCCATACTCCAAACTTTCCAAACACCACATCCGCAGCTTCTGCGACATCCTTACCTCAAATCCTGGCAGTCCCGAGTCTCCCTTCTCACCCTGAATGACAACACGATCACAACAACAACAGTTCAGTCACAGGACTACAGGCCACTACACAAAAAAACTAAACCATTTACCTGTCGCCCTAATGGTCCTCTGATTCCCATCATCCCCTTTTCCCCCTGCATGATGGGAAGGTGCAGGTGGGAGGTACAAGGTGCAGGGTTGGGAGAGTTGGGAGAGTTGCCGCCCAACGGACGTAGTAATCCGGTGTGAACAAGAGTTGAGACCGAGCCAGGATGTGGGGGGATAGTCCAAGTTGACAGTAGTGGGGGGTTTCACACGTGCAGTAGAGAAAAATCCGCGGCAGTGGGGTTCAAGAGCGTGCAGTAGGAAGATTGGTTGCAAGTAAGAACAAGCAAGGTTGTAATCAGCAAGGTTCTCTCTACTCTACAACCAAGGATCTACTGGCACATTACAAAGAACAGAGAGCGATTTTCTTCAGTGCAGCATGCAATTTTAAAATTACATCTCAATTATTCCTTTCATTCAAAGTTATCCCAATCTGAATCATTCAATAAATCAATTTTTCTTGACCTTAACATATCTGTTACAATGTTTGCCACAAGATGCATCCACAAGCTTCAAGCTTCAACAATCTCAGGCTAAGACTGGTAGACTGAGTCCCTAGACTAGACTTCTCCAACCCAAGGACTTCCCAAAGTTGAAGAAACCCAGTGTAGTTACGATCTCTACCAGTCTTACCACGGGCATGACATCAGGCATCTTTTCCCATGCTGCTTTACATTTCAGTTGGTTAGTAAGCAAGCAGGGAACGGGGTGAAATGGCAGAGAAAGATTAGTTCAAGACTTTAGTAAAGAGACAGGACAGGGCAAGCAGTAAGAAGGACCATGCTAGGTACAGCTAATATAAGCTAGTTAAAATATTTGCATGCTTTTTAACAAGCCTTCCAATACAGCTTGGACTATAGGCTAAGCTAAAGGCTGATTACAAAATACTAGATTTGTTCCAAGAACTGGCTCGATGCTGAGAAACTTTTCAAACTAATTACTGCTTGTAAACTTTCCCAACACCTTTGGAAACACACAACACGTTCTTGGAGAGCACCTAGCAAACCTACAACGTGTCATGCCAGGGACTTGCAAAAGCCATACACATTACTGCAAGTGGCAGAGTGCTACAGTGAAGTTACATCTGCTTGTGAAGCTACATGTAGTCAATACTATACTATAGGCTTCCATCTAAAATTATTCACAACAGTGTAAGATAGTGCAGGAACACCACACTGCATGTTAAACAAGGGAAACTACACACATGTATAAACCTAAATGAAGCAGCTGTATATGTACCAGTGGAAAAAATATATTGTGTAAATAGTTTTCAAACCTTTGGTCCAGCAGGCCCGATGACTCCTGAAAAGGACACAATAGCAGTTTGATTTGGATTTCCTGAGCAATCTCAAAAAATGATTTTGACCGCTTAATGTCTACTACTCTTTTAGCACAATATATATATACAAGTAAGTCATTACAGCATATGTTGTTTAAATGGTAAACTTGCACTTAAGTTGTTTAAAGTACACAAGAAAGATTGCAAAAATGTTAGGCACCACTGCCATATTTTTTCTTCGGACATTTTTTATACAGCGTTCAGCAACGCATAAATCTTCTAAAACCTAAATCTTTGACCACCCACCTGCACCACCAAACGACAGTCCAGGTCCAGAAGCCAAAGACCCAGGTGGACCAGGAGGGCCTGGTGGGCCAGACGGTCCGATGTCTCCCTTCTCTCCTTTTTGGAGCTGCAGAGACAACAACAATGTTGTAGATTGCAAAATAACTCTATTCAAAGAAACACTTTGTCAAGGACATACATGTGTATAGGAGAATAGTTTGACCTGTATACGTGAAACTAGGAAGCCCCAAAGACATAAAACCATGTTTGAACATTGAATCAGAATTCTACACTGGCAAGGCCACACAAAAAGGACAAACACAGTAGACTTACCACAGGGAAGCTGCCAGCTGGGAAAGAAGCACCACTGGGCAGGCCTGGAGGACCCTGAGGAAAACAAAATCATTCTCAAGGTCAAATAAAGGGTAAAATCACCAATTCTACAGGGGATCTACACTGGAACTTTAAAATACTTTAAATACTCTTATCAGAGGCGATGAGTAAAAACCTTTTAAATAACCAAACAAATGAGGTACTTATTTACGTGAAATATTGTATGATACTTACAGGAGGGCCAGGGGGTCCAGGTAAGCCAGTGCCCTGCAAGGTTAACATTTTATGGTGAGTGGCGACAACCATGTACACAACATATTCACAATTACATTCCTACCAAAGACAACGTTACCATCTGCTACCATTAGTAACCAAAAGGGAACATTTTCATCACTTACTGTGTCACCCCTCTCTCCCTTCTGACCTCTGACACCAGGAATACCCTGTAAGAAACAACATACAGTTCATACTGTACAACCTTTAAAATAAAAAAAAATTATACAAAAAATATTACTAAAGCAAAAGTTATCAATCATACAACCCTACAAGTATTTTAAATTTCTGATACATGTACATCATCTTTTTTATGTGAGTGAAAAAATTCATGTAGTCACTTTCAAATATTCATGAAATGAAGAAATGAATAAACCAGTCTACTAGTACTACTACTGGTACTGCTAAAAGTCAAACTTACCATTCTCCCAGGGAATCCCACTTCACCTATCATACCCTTTGGTCCTACAGGACCCTCTGGTCCACGGACACCCTGTGAGAGACAAGTACACAATTATCCTATATGAGTTTTATCACAGATATATCATTCTATAATCTACACTCCTAACTATGCGAGAGGAACTCTTTGTGGATAGTGGCCAATTGTAGTTCTGAATGGCATAAATGTTGCTACAGCAGGTAGATTTGGGGGACATTTCTTTTATTGCCTCAAGAAGAGTGCTTGCAATAGAAGGCAGGACATCTCTGAAAGAACTGTTCTTTTTATTCAATCTGCAGCCATAAAATGTGCTTATGTAATCATCACATCATGGTATGATAGGTAAAGAATGTTTAGACCTTAGAACACGTAGGATAAGTTGATTCATTGTCTTGTACGTAGGTTAATTCTTATGTACCCACGTGTCTGTTTGTATGTCTAGTTACAGACCTTACGAAAGTCGCTGTACTTTTGTTGTGTCAATAAAGTTCTCTATGAAACCCAATTATACAGACATTGTACTCATGGTTATACAGACAATACCCCGCATGCTTATTAACAGGAAGCACAATCAACTCACAGCATCCCCAGGTTCACCCTTCTTGCCAGGAAATCCTGCCACTCCTTCCAATCCTGGTTCTCCCTTTGCCCCCTTGATCTGCAGCACATCTCCATCTACTGTCACAGCAGGACCAGGCTCCCCACGGTCTCCCTGTGGGAGGTAAGAAAATGTACATCAGCAATCAGTTAAACATTAAATCTAGTTTGCTTTTAAATTCAATTCCTTGACCTTAAGACTTAGGCAATTATAAGTTGTTTTCTACTTAATCAATTAAGGTTAGACATCAAGGTAATGAGATACATAAGAAAACAGTATTCAAGCAACTGGAAAGATTATGAAAACTGTTAGATGATTCTAGTAGCATCCACTACTTTTCATCATCAGTGACTTGTGGGTGCTAACTGGAAACATCTAACAGTTTTCAAAATCTATCCAGGTGTGCTTGACTAACAATTTCTTTGTATTTTATCATTAATTTTTACCATTGTGTACAGAGTATGGTGAGTCTCTTTGTGTGTTTACTTGTGTTTCAATAGTTTGGGCTTTGAATGTACGTACCTTACGTCCTGCCTCTCCTGAATCTCCCTTCTCTCCCCTCTCACCAGGTAAACCGGGTTCTCCCTGGGGAAACAAGAAACACAAAACAACATTGTAATAAGCAGTGCATCAAAGCAATACCTGCAAAAGACACTTCCAAGTTCCATTTCTCAAAAGACTTCACATAAAAGTCAGGGACAATAGTTCTAAAAACTTGTTAGAAACATTGCAGAAATATCTTACAGGTCTGCCGATTGGTCCAGGAGGTCCAGCAATTCCCTGAAAAACAAAGAAACAATTTAGCTGGATGCAACAAACCTTAACAGACAAAAACTGTATTCTTAAGATGATGAAACTACATGGTAACTTGTAACAAGACTTCTGGGGTCGAAGTATTTTGGGTTTTTGTGACCTTCCAGCTTCCAGCTCACAGATCAGGACATAAAAAGTACATGGAAAATCTCAGTTACCAGATAGGGTGAAGTGGTTGTAATCTGTATCAGTGCTTCTCTCTCTACATTACATACCGGAGGTCCCCGTGGTCCCTCAGGCCCAGCTGGTCCAATCACTCCTCCAGTAAAACCATCGGTCATCTCACCCTGAAGAAGACAGGAGGACGTCAATCATAGTACAGCATCATGGCATAGTCAATATCCAATATCTCACTCACTACTATTACATAATACACAAATACTAAGTAGTTTCAACATTTGGTGGTATACAAAGAACTTTGTTATCCACTGATACTTAATATGTACTGTATGTTTACAAAAATCACTTGCCTGGTATCCATGCCTGTTCAAGTTTGGCTATAAACCAAGATGTAAGCTAGACAAGACTGGATACCAGGCAAATTTTGTATGAAATAGAACCAAATCTCACCTCTCCTCCCACTGGTGGAAAGCCAGGGCTGACAGTCTGCATGCAAAATGTGCACAACAAACGGTGCAAGCATAACAGGTGAGAACACAGCAGGACAACATTCATATGCAATCATCTCATCAACACAGCCAGAAACTATCAGGCATTTCTACAGTGTAATCACACAGCAGCAAACCTTCAAAAACCATGCAATATTTTTCATAACTGCCTCTTTTTGTATCACAGCAAATCAAAAAGTATTTGCAGCACTATAAAATGATCCAACATAGCTACTAGTATCCATTTTTGTCCTCAAAAACTTCTTGTAACAACTTTCTTTTTATATATCTCTAAGCCTGAACCTGAAACCAACATATGCTATCTACTGGCAGTTGCTTTTTTACAAACATGCACACTCTGTGCAATCTGAGTCATAATCAGCTTGCTGTGGCACTTTTAAACTGCATGATCGCAAGCCACCAATACCAATGAGGTTACCAAGCCTATCCCAGCAGCGGAGTCTTTTTTTCTCCTCTGCTAGAGCATGGAAGAGACTTGGCAGCTGAACTAGGTTTGGTAACTAGGCTATTGCATATTTGATTAGATCAATATGAGAACTTTCACTAAACCACAGCAACCAATACTGGAGTGGACCATTTACTTAAAAAAGAGAACACTTTTTGTACCATTTCGTCATCTCCGGGGAGTACAGAGATAGTTCCGGGCAGTCCGGGGGGTCCGGGTGGGCCAGGAGGTCCGGGGAGACCCACACCATCACGGCCAGCTTCACCCTGTTAGCAGGAAACAGCATATTTTTAGCCAGCATAAGCAAAAGATCCATTGAATTTTAAGCTACTTCAGTATGCTAAAGGTTAAAAAAACTAGACACTCTCTATATATATCCAGTTTAATGCCAGAGTTTACGCTTTTATGCACACATGAATATATTTGCCTGTGATCAACAAAATCTTGATTTCACAAACCTCTTTATGGTTCATGTAGATCACAAACAGTCAGAATAATGCAGCACAAGGGAAAACAACATTTATTTAGTTATCAATGAGTTACGTCAGCTCTGCTATCAACAGCTCCAACTACACTTATATAGAACAACTGTCTTCTTCCAATAGCAGTTTCGTCTTTTATTGTCCTATGGTTATTTCTGAGCAAACTTATACTTACAGGTGGTCCTCTTGGTCCCATGTCACCTTTGGGTCCCTGTGAAAAAAATCATGCAATACATTTTTTCAAACCCTGTTACATGTGAATGTGCAATTGGAAGATTTACAAGAATGCCCAAATATAAATAAATAAATTTTACTGAAGGTGAACTAAAAGTATCTTTAAACCTTGAAAGCAAATCTTAACTTATAACTCTAAGTAAATAATGCTGTAATGTCTTGTAAACCAAGTGCAATACATGTACATTTTGTACAAAAGGACACAATTCAGCAATTTTATTTTATCAATTTAAACCATTTGATTAACTGATTGATTAACCGATTGGTTAACTGATTGATCGAAATACATGTAACCCACCTGAGGTCCCACTATGCCAGCCTCTCCTGCATCTCCCTTTGGTCCACGTGGTCCAACTGGTCCTGGTAAACCCTGTAAACACACAGCACAACAAAGTACAGGGTTTAACAACAACACTTACACATGTAGATGCCACTCTGTAAACACTTATGTCATACCTGATCCCTGATAACGCTTGATACGGGTGTGATAACTACACATATTACACAGAGTTCCAACACTTATCACATTTAAGTCATCAATACCGGTATTTAATAGTTTGATGTATTGTACTTAGAGCTGTGTACCGGTACGCAGTACCGATACTGTACCGGAAAAATTGATTAGGTACAGGTCCAAAATACCTACTCCCCCAGTACCGGTACTGTACCTAAACAATTTCACACCAATCTTATGCCTATTTGTGACCTCAAATGTGTATAAAGGTGGTTAACAATGGGTCCCTGTGTAAGGACAGCGTGTTCATGAAAACAAAACACTTAGTTTTGCCTATATTTTATCTGAGCATTCGCCATAAACAAAGAATAAACCTTAACTATCAAGTTCATTTATGTTTTTTTGTTATTGAAGGAGTTCAGAAGACCATATAAATTGGTCGAATTGTTCAGGTACAGGTTCAGGTCCGGACCTGTACCTAAACCTGTGTACCTGTACCTGTACCTGTACCTAAAATTTGTTTAGGTACACAGCTCTAATTGTACTATTACATTGCTATATTGAATTAACAAGTTAATATGTCAATTACTAGTATATTGTTTTCAGTAATGTGTGTGTTGGTTAGAATGTCTCCTAGAGGGTTCCACTTACAGGTGATCCTTGTGGGCCCTCTGGTCCTGCTGTTCCCTGTTCACCCTACGGATAAGTTGTTAATTGAATTAAAACACAGCAGCCAATGGCAGGCTTTAGCAATAAATCATACGCTTTGTGGAAACATTATGCCAGCTACAGCATTGCTAAATATGCAAAAACATGTACATCAAGTTCACTTGCATTCTTTTAATAAATCATAAACACATTTAACAGCTCCTATTGGGGAATTTTTCCAAATTCAACCTGCTAGCATTGTCTGTAGAAATACATGTTTGCTACCAGGTTACAGCAGCCAAAGATATACATTGTACATTCGTTTATGTACAAAACTAAATATAAACCTTTATGTCTTGTGTACAGTTGGAAATATTCCCCATGCACTATGCAAAAATTTTATGATAAAACAATACTGAGTCTAACTAACATTCATATCTATACTAAACCATGCTGAAAATATTACCAGAGCCACCATGCAAAAAATGTTTCAAAGGAGAAATTGCACAACTATGTTTTCTTACAGAGTTAGAAATAAGACATTCCCACAATGCGTTATGATGTGGTATGTGGTTAAGTTAGTCAAGTCAGACATATCACTAATTTCTTCAGGACCTCATGCATGTACTTAGAGGAACCAAAGTGGACATTTGACTATCTCAATCAAAGTCCTCTGGCTCAATGTACGAGCTGCACTGTATTTAACATGAAATTCGGTCAGCAAACTTGCTACACTGAGATATACTGGTGACCTAGAAATGTAGCACCACATTTTAGAGGCATTACAGTCCCCTTCTACTAGATGGTGATCGCTGAGCGAATGCAAAATTGGACTTGTTTGACTACTCTTGACTTTGTAATATGAGCAATCTGTCAAGTCACTCAGCAGTCACAGCCTTTAGTGAAAAGAAGGTGTTAGCAGAGTTAAAGCACCTACAAGTCAATCTACAAGTACTTCTAACGTTACAGATCTTCCTACAACTTCCACATCCCATTTCCCATCATCACCTTCTGCCCTGGGTTTCCGGGTATCCCAGGCTCCCCTGCAGGTCCAGGACCCCCCTGTAAGTGTGCAGACTAGCAGCTGAGCAGGGAGAAGTGCTACAAGCAGGGCTTATACAGTAAAGCACACACTATGCAATGGGATGGAGCTTTGTTCAAGATGAGCAGGAACATAGACAAGCATTCTGAGGCATAGGTTAAGCTGTGATGCATACATGTACATACATAACGTTACATGTAAATGACATGGCATGTGGTTTGAAGTGCACAAGAAATGCATGGCACAATATTACATGGGATGTGATAGCTAACTGCTGCATTGCACTAAAAATGTATAACAGAGACCGGTTTGAGCAGGAAGCTAAGAGATTGTGCAAAGTGTGAGCTGTGAGCAACAAATGCAAAAGGAACTTAAAGCAGTTAAATAGGGTTCAACTCCTAATCTATAATTGGACTGGTTTATTTTCTATGCAGTTTATTGTCTGGATCCTTCTATAATGGCTGTAGGCACTTGTGCTAAGTCTGACACGCTTACCTAAACATACATGTACCGGTATGTATGTAGTGAATATATGGGGCTTAATAGAGTTTGCAGTTTGAGATACTTACCGATGAACCACCAAATCCCTGAAACCACAGAAAAAGGACAGTCACTATTGTTACTCTTGATATAAACATATAACATCTACATTGTACTTGTTTCAATAAGTTAATTAACAATAATTTAAGAAATTCCATCATAAGACTTGTTGGTCAGCTCCATTTGTTACTCCTTATCAGCCACTTTGAAAAAAGGAATACCTGGTGTATATTTCAGATAGCTGCCTCAACATGAAACACTTGTCTGAATGTCTGAATCAATATGGATGTACAATAGTCTATCTACAAATTTAATAGATCAGACTCACAAATATCCCTCCACCACCACCAGAAGGTCCGGGGGGTCCAGGTGGACCGGGCAGTCCAGGCTGGCCAGGTTCTCCCTAAAACAACATGGCAACAGGTTTCTCAGAATGACCTTAGAAAGATTTTTCTTATGCACACTGTTATCAATCAGCTGAGGGACTTAATCTATTTTGATAATATTTATACATTTTCATCACATTTCATTCAGATACTGCCACCAGTGGTTCACTGGTGTCAAATGTCAATGTTTAACATTCTTGTACATCTGTGAATATTTGTGAATTCATTTATTTTGGAGGGGAATTGATTTCACAGTGAAAGCCGAAAGGTGGCAAAAAACATGACACTGTACGTTCTGATACAACTATCTCTGACTATCTTACCTTACTCCCTGCTGACCCCTGAATCCCAGGTGCCCCTGCTTCACCCTGTACATGCAGTTAATACAAGGGCAGGTTTCCATGGTTACAAGGGAAAGACATGCTAGTACACAGGGGCACAAGGTAACATCACATGGCAACATCAAAGTCAGTACACAAATACATGTATCAGCTACTGGGGCAACACATTTCATCAGCAGGACTTCAAAGGAATTAAAAACTGTTATGGAGGGAATGGCTCTGATATTATGGCACAGTCCATTTAGTAGTTGATGCAATCATACATGTATATCAATGTATTACAGGTATGTTATCATAAAGTATTACAGCAACATTGCCATACTGAAACTACAGAGGAGCACATGTGACGGCACAGGGATTCTTTGAATGAAATGAGCAAACATTGAATGCAATACAGGTACATACAGTTTGTGAAGTAAGTTGCTGCTGTAAATATTTTGCTGCTGCAAAGACAACTTTGGTGCTACTCAAAATGTCAAATCTGTTGTACAAAAAATTGCTGCTGGGACGTGTTAAGACATGATACAGATGTGATATGGTATGCTGGGGGTGACTAGTTACAGGATGTGACATTATTCACAGGCTTATGGGATGAATAAACATATCAGTATCATGAAAACTCCTCCCTTCAGTAGACTGACCTTAGGTCCTATCAGTCCATCTTGTCCTGGCAGGCCCTGGAAGAAAAAAGGTGGAAATGATAAATAAATGTATTGAAACAAATCAAGGAACAATATCTCCAATCTCTATTTGTTAGTAGGCTATATTGTTTCTTACACCTTTTCTTTTCCCAGTCACTGGCTTAATGTTTGACAAGTTTGGACAATTTTGCTTTTATCAATGCACAAAAATGAGTATTATGTAGCATTTGACAGCCAATACAGAACATTCCCATTCTCTAAATACATGTACTACTAAAAAACTTTTTCAAGTCAAGATCATCTACCAATAGCCTGGGTACCATCCTACTTGTATACCGGGGCTTCTCTCGCTTCGCTTATAACTTGTTAGCTAGGGAAGCGAGTGTGGGAGCCCCGGCATACCAGTAGGATGGTACCCAGGCTAACCTACCAATGCTAGTTAAAGTAATACATACCGGCAGCCCAGGTGGTCCAGTAAGTCCGTCCAGTCCGTCCCTTCCAGGAGGACCCTGGATGCCGTTAGTGATGTTCCCTGTGCCGAAGGTACCTGGTTTCCCTGGCAGACCGGGTAGACCGGGCGGGCCGGGCAGTCCGGGGATACCGGGTGGTCCGGGAGGTCCAGGGGGGCCGCTTACACCCTGGGATTTAGGAAGGAAAAGAAGTGGTACAAAATGTAGAGCTTAGAAGTTTGACTTACATCTGTGGTAAATCACTTGGAACAACTAAGGTCCGAGTCCCATTATTTTTGTACATGTACATGTACGATTATAGTATGATCACAAACTGAAGGCATTCTTAGGACATTCGTGCCTGTGTTGTACGACATTTAGCTGCTTGGTGACAGAAAGTACCGTCTGACCACTGTTGATTCTGTCACAGCCTGCTTGAAAAATCATGAAAGTTGTATGATAGTCTACAATGAATGTGACAGCACCATCAGTGAAAGAATTTGCATGATTAGTTTGATCCATTATGATTAGAAATACTTCATTCCCACTTTTTTAATCTGACAATTAAAAGTTTTAACCAGTGCAACATTTGCAAAAGCTATCAAACATGATTAGCTTTTAGCTTACACAAACATGTGAGTTCTAGGACATGCATATCTACTGTAGGTCTTAGCTATTTAGTGACAAATAGTACGGTAAGGTTTATTTCATTCAACAGTCTTACCTGTCCAGCAAACTCATATCCCGAGCCCTCAAGTCCTATAATGGCCTAATATTTAGACAAAAGAGAAGCAAAAACATGCATCATTGCTCTGTGGCCATCATGCTTCAGGCTGTCAAATGCTTGTCATGTCATCACAAATTAATGCAGGTCAAACAACTGCAATCTGCATTATCATAACTCCACAAGGCATTCAACGCCTTTCCACCATCATGTGTTCTTTTCCACTGAGTATTTGTATACAAAAAGATTGCTAACAGAAACCCAACTATTGGCACTATTTTTGAAGTTAGGAGTCTCCAAACGTTCTCCCTCTTACAAATTCAACTATGCAAAATTTTTCTTCATCACCATAATAACAGCAAATGTCCACCTCTCTATGGCCGCCTGAATGTTTTTTATCTTACAATCTGGGGGACATTGCATTGTCACCATGTTCAACGAAACTTTGCACTAGTCTTGATAATTTTGTCAAGAGACACACTGAGCTACCTGGTCATGTGGTATGGAAAAGAAGACAACAGAATGTTGAAAAGGTACATGGTGTAAGAGCATACTATGAGATACGCACTGTTTCTGGTACAAAGCCATTAGAAGGTCCTGGAGGGCCAGGTAGTCCAGGAGGCCCAGGTGGTCCTGGTGGACCAGCAACTCCAGCAATAGACTCTCCTGGCTCTCCCTAGGCAAAGACACAGGTCATCAGTTAGTTGTATCTTTGAAAGATGACATCAATGATCTCTTTTAAGTTTATCCTCTATCTACAAAATGTACATGTACTTCAGGTGCTTGTTTCACGGAATATTGTATTAATTCGTATTAAAAAAAAGTAATAAAAGATACATAATTAACTATGTAATAACAGCTACCGGTATTGAAAAGAAGGTGGTGACAATATTTTCTCCAAAAGAAGCCTCATTCCCATAGGGAACAGGACAACACAGCCAGTCTATATCAGCGATCACAGTTTTTGTTTACATCATCTACATGCAAATTATTTGAAGACATATGCAAATTATCCACAGGCAAATCACGGATCTGTCACCCGCTTTTTGCTCTGGCTGTGACGTCATGGCGATCGCTCATATCATGACATTGGCTGAGTGTATCAAAATGGACAATTTCAGTCTAGCACTTGTATTGGCTTATAGTAATTAACAAAATGCAGTTCTGTGTCTGTGAAGTCCAGAATCATGCATACCTTTGCTCCAGTGATACCGGCTGGTCCTGGCAAACCCTACATGCAGGAAGCAGGCATTCGCAAGCACAGCATGGTTACAGAGCAAGCCAAACCAACAAAACACAATCAATCAACAAACAGGGGTTATGATAAAAAAGATACTCTTACAAAATTCATAATTTTTTTCCACGTTCTTCAGTGAATCCCTTTAGCACATTTGGAACATTTTAGCATGCATCAAAAAGGTCCCACAACATTTTCACATTAAAATACATGTAGTAAATTAATAATCAATATCATTTATCAGCCCAACAAACCCAGATCTATTTGCTCAGTTGAAAACAAAATGCTGTAATTACCGGCAGGCCAGGCGCTCCGGGTGCTCCCTGTAAAACAAACACACATGCAGTTCATGCAACAAGCTCTAGGTGGCAGCATTAAACCACAAAAACCATCACAAAGGTGAATCAGAATCACTGGCAAAAACAGCACGAGTTTCAAAACAGGAATAATCATTTTGCACATGCAGGTACATTTATACATATAGAAGCAATCAACCCACTGCAAACACATAAATATTGGAGAGTTTTAAAGCTAAGATTGGTAAGGTTCCATGTTATCTGTTATTGGACCAAAGCATAATTTTAATGATTTATACACTATATACTAGCTACTGATCAGTCAGATTAGTTTGTTGGAATACTGTATTACGTATTACACATCATTAGTCCGTTATAATTAGGTGGGTTACAGTTATTGCCATCTAATTCCCTTGCTGAATTATTTCTCAGTCTGCTCCTGTTCTAATATGGTTATCAAATTAATGAAAAATTACTCAAAGTTTAGCTAAAAGCTTTTTGGAGTAGTTTTTGTCAAAAATAAAACCAGGGAGTTGTATATAGAAATGTTCATGTAGATAAACATCACGTTGTGGTCGAAAAAAAAAATCATTGTTCTTTTAAAAAAATATGGACAGCTTGTTTTGAAGGTGTGTATCAATGAAATGTTAGCACGTTTCAGTGTTGTGGGATTTTGTGCATCGTGTGGCGGTGCCTAAACTCACCTTTGACCCTGGGGTTCCAGAGATCACCTGATCCTGTGCATACATAATGAGTGATGTGGAGTGGGGAGGGGGTGCAGTGGGAGGGGGGTATGGACAGCACCATGGACAGACATGCACAAAAACACGTTGCAGGGTGGAAATGGGATGGTGTGAAAATAAAAGTAAAAAATCATGAAAATGTGAACGAAAAATAAAAAAAGCTCCAGCCATCTATTCCAACAACCAATTCAGTTGTATGGATGGTAGGGATTATCGAAACAAAGTGGCTAAAAATTTTTAAAAAATCAAAAAAGCTATCTTTTAGTACATCTGTTACAGCTTATTCTTCATCTCAACTAACTACATTTCTGTAAAGCATGTTAACTTCTTTATGTTTTAATTGCTGCTGCCAGTTACATCACAAATGCAAATCTCTGCTAAAAAGCAGTATTTTGTCCACTACAGCAAGTCTTGTGTTTGACTACCTGGTTTCCTATGTTAACATTGTTTAGGAAAACCTATCTAGAAGCATTATGCTTAGGCGACCAGTTTGTTTAGAATGGACTTGAATGTTGGCTATGATTATGATTATGAAACTCACGTCTTCCCCGACAGTGACCACTCCTGGAGGTCCAGGTGGACCAGGCGGGCCGGTCAGTCCCACTCCTGGGTCACCCTTCAGTCCGGCTTCTCCTCTCTCACCCTGATAACACAAAAACATTCTTTACCATTCAACACAATTCCATTCTTGTTATTAAAGCTGGTGTGTTACACTCATTAATATCTTGCGCTCGAGACACTGAATGGTGGTTGTACAATACAGATAATTCATGCAAAGATAAGACTGACACAGATAAGCCATAGAATATGCTGCACACGGCCACAACACCAGACCTTGTGTGTTACCATTTATCTCTTGAGATGGAAGGATGCCTACTACTAGATGAAGTGTCTGACTCTCACCTTGGGTCCTCTCTCACCAGGTGGTCCCACAGGTCCAGCCTCACCTGGGGTTCCAGGTAAGCCTTGCAGACCACGTTCACCTGGTATACCTGTATACAAAGAAACATGATATGTTAGGGTAAAGATCGCTGACTCCACCCATAGAGATCCCAATTGGAATCTCCATCAACAGAGATCGTGATCAGGCTTTATCTCTGCCAGTATAATCGGCAATTCCATGGGTTGAGATCCCACTCTGGAGCCTGTAAATTTTACAACATTCCCTTAAAATATGGTCAGAACTTTTCAGCTTTGATTCATGTCACTTAAGATCAATCGATTGACTTGAAACTGAGAATGAGAGACCATCCTAACACATTAAAAGCATTCTGGTCACAATATCTGATGACAAAGACTCTATTCGGGATCTCTTCCAGTATAATTGGCGATTTTGCTAGGCTGCAATCTCTACCTAGCATATATATTATAATACATACATGTATGTATTAAGGAAAAGTATAACAAAAATAATTACTGTATTACCATCACTGTTTGCCTAGTCCAATCTACTCCTCTAAGAATTTTTTCAAAATTTGTGACATTTTTCCTCCCCTCACCTATCGGCCCCTCGACTAGAGTGGTATCTCCCGGTTCTCCCTTCTGCCCCCTCAGTCCAGGTGGACCCTGAGGCCCAGTGGCTCCCTTGGGTCCAGGCACGCCGGGCAGACCAGGCAGACCTGGCGTGTTCCCCCCACCCTCAGGCAGCTCTGGCCAGCCGGTGGTGTCCCCGTCATGCCGCTCCATGTTACTGGTGTCTGGGTACGGCTCATTCACGTCTGGGCCGTCAACCTAATAAAAAAGGCAATCCAAGAAAACAATGTTACATGTACTTCAACGAATATGTACTAGTCCAAATCACATTTGCATGAATCCAGTAAAAGAAAAAACTGACCATTGGAAATTTTTACCATTGGTTAAGTTAGTTGTCTAAAAACTTGCTTTCTTTAAAATTTGCTTTGGCCTGTAACCTTCACAGGTGATACGGCCATCTTGCTTAAGGTCGTATTTGCATTTTGGAGGATGATATCCCATCTAAATGTAGTTTTCAAATACTGTATCAGGAAAGATATTGTCTGCAACAGGCGAAATTCTGATGGGAGAATGTTGACCGAACATCCACCGAAAACCATGAAAAATTTTGGGTGTTGCGCAGGTGCATTATGTTCTGTCAACGTTATATAGTCCAAGCAGTAACGAAATGTGCATCTGTCGTAAATTTGTTCCTGTCTTAGGGACTTCGCATGTGCAGTTTAAACCATGAACCAGTTTATAATATGACTACCCACAGGTGTTTCCTGAGTGGCATGCGGAGTGTTGGGTCTGCCGGGGATGACAGTTCCAGGGATGGTGATGATGGTCCCCTCCTCTCCTCCATCTCCACTGCCTGACACTGCACCCTGGACAGGACATACAGTAACAATATGTTAAACATTGTGTTAAAGACTTTACTGTAGAAAAATGCCATCAAACATGACACACTTTGAATGAAAACCCATAATCTTATTACTAATATTAGGCAAAAAAAGTACAAACCAGTACATGTGATTATCTCTACACAAGGACCACCTGCCTTCTGTGACCAACCACTTTTTGGTACGTGGTCCCTTAGATTATTTTTCCCATTGTTACAAGCTTTCAGAATTCTATCTGTGCACATAAACCAGACATCAACTGTCCCAATTTTTTTTTTCGAGGGAGGGGCAGGTTTCACTGTACATAGCATGTAGTACTAGTACACAAATGTAGCTTCTTGGAGCAGTGAAACAGTACTCTAGATTATGGAATAACTTAATATTCCATATGCCTTTTTCTGACCTGTCGCAGTCACAATGTATTCTAACAACAAAAGATTGCTGTTGAATACAATGAAGCTAGTCCCGTAGAGTCAAAATGCTTTAAGTTCTTGCAAGCAGTTTTGCTTACTTTTTGCTGGTAGAAAAAAAGAAGAAGCTGAACCAAGATATGTTACCATCAAATCTGTTGAAACTAGTTAAGACACGTGGGATGAGTTACTTAGATGTTCTTCAGATGTTGGGAATGCCTCAGAAATCCTCCAGTGTTTGAAGATGTTGGTTTACTTTAAGACAGTGAAAGTGGGTGATGAAGGAAGGGTTTACGGGGGCAAGCAGTAACGAGACTGGTTCAATCTCATAAAGCAGAAGTCAAAAGCTCTACCGCACAGATGTGTTCTTAAGTGAGCTCTGTAGACATTACCAGATGGAAAATCACTTAGAAGCTTTGGGGATATGTTCATTGGACCTAGCCTGGTTACCAAATCTATTATAGCTCCCGAGTCCTACAGTCTCTCCGCAAATATTTACGGAGAGGCTGTAGGACTTGGGAGCTATAATAGGTTTGGTAACCAGGCTACATTGGACCCGATTTACATGAAGACAAAAATCTGATGGTCCGAAAACTGTGTACACATGTAAGCATCTGAAAATTCAACTGTGTGGATCAAATTTTTCCTGTGTGCAAAATAGCCTGCTTTGCCGTATGTCAAGAACGTACATTCAGATCAGATGAATCAGATTATATGTTACCTTGAGGCCTGGCGTATGATCTAAATGTACATGTATCTTCTTGACGTGCGCCAAAGCAGGCCGATTCACATGCAGAAGAAATTTGACACATGTAGTTTTTTTGTACTAGTATGTAGCTCGTTAATCAGAAATAATAAATAGATAACAATACATTGTCTCTGACATATTTGCTTCACAGATGGACAGAGCATAAAACTCTTAACATTTTTTTAAATCCACTAGACTGAGAAGTGGTAAAACAGAAAGCAGTTACTGCGATGGGAACATAAAGGTTTTACGATTTTAAGGGCTGGAACTTTACACAGGTTAAACTGGGCACAGGAGGGCACCAAAACTAACTGCTCTGCAACCAAAAACTACAGGTGAAAAATTCAGACTCCGGTTTTATTCAAACACTTTTGACAGCAGCTTACATACTGTGTGAGCTCCTTCATGTTTTGACCCTGTGCCACAGAAGAACTAACATCACCTAACCAGAGGTCTAATCTCTGAAAACCAAGCAATTTCTGCAATGGGCGTGTTGATGGCTTCATGCTGAGTCACTGATTACAAGGACATTACCAAAGATTTAGAAGTTCAACCTCAAGGTCACTCGTACAAAGCCACAAAACAACCCTATTAAGAATTTAGAAAGGCTGGGAGAGATACATGTACATGTGTATAACTTAGAAATTTGAACCTGAATGGTAAAGAATGTACACTGGGGAAACAAGCTATTCAGTTTTCAAGAAATGCAAGTCTGCCTGTTTTATGTCTGAGAAAAGTGTTACTCCTCTTCCTGTAGCACATGTCAATTTACAGCGAACCCAGTCCAAAGCACATGTAGGGCAACTTAACACCTTTGAGTGGGTTAAAAGTATACCTGTTGCCTCTCATGAGAAATCTTCTTGGACAGTTAAAAAATCAGGCCTCCTAGTTTACGAGATATCTACATGTAGCCTGACTTGTTTTCACTGGGCCAGGCTACCTCTAACTAGGAACAGGAGAGTTGCCTCTATTGTTGACATTAAGTTCTCCCTGACCCAAGTGTGTGGAAATTGAACTGGGCCTGCAGAAACTGGACTGGAACATATGGCCTTTTCCTCAGCTTTTAACTTTTAACTTTTACAGGCCCACTTGTGTGCACTTCTGCAAAAAGTAATCTTTAGATTTTGGTACTTACTAGTAGTACTGTATTATAACAACAGAAAAAAATAGATGATCTCTTTGATACAGGTGCGGTGCCAGGTAAAACAAAAACAGATGTCAAGACTTGCAGTTTGCCATCTTCATTTAGCCTTCAGCCTGCTAAGGAAGCTGTTTAATTGGCACCAAATTTGTATTGATAATAGGGTATGGTAGCAGGGAGAAGGTTAATGTATTGCTGTAGCTTACATGGATTGGGAAGAAAAACCGTAGAGACCAGAGCTCTAGCCAGCTCAAAATTTTTTCCCTCAGCCCAGGTTCATGATTGGTCCTGGGGTAGAGTGCTTGCAATCTAGGGGGTCCAGGGAAAATTTTGGATTTTCAAGCCTTTTTAAAATGTAATTTCCCACGTTCTGATAGGCAAATCATGGGGTTGAGAGAGTGGTTGTTAGTGGTCGAAAAATGGATGCTTTTATATTTTTACCCAAGATTTTTGTCAATTTTGCCTATCAAGTTTGACGGGTTGCTTTCAAAAATTTTCTGTCACACGCCGCAAAGTTCCTGCAATTGACGGAAAAACGGGTGCTGGCTACAGCCCCAGCAGAGGCCCTGAATTCAGGGATAGCCAAGTTCCTGTCCAAGTGACAGTGGACTCCCAATGGTCACGCCCAAGTTGTCTATCATTCATGCAGGGATGGTCCAGCTGACCTTCTGCCACTGTCAATGTTCCACCATGTTGGAATGCCCATTACCGACACCCCGGGGCACGACCTTGGAACTGTCTTGAACCCTGTGGCCAAGGTCGTAAAACCACCAGACCTTCCACTGTTACTGTTGATTTTACTAGTGAATCTGGGAATGGTATATGTACTTTGTTCTACTTCTAGGCAGGGCAATGTTCTATACACTGTACTTGATGCATAGTCAGGTTTATTTATTGTAAGGGCTAGAAAAGTTGTACCATTTAGATAAAATTGTACACTTGTAAACACACCTTCTCTTTTCCTTCTGTCCTGTCCATATACCTTTTACTTCCTGGACCAATTCCAACAATTCAACCTGTGTTCCAAGAACCCTAACCCTATGTCGGAACATACCATTGTGGTGTTGGAACGAACATGTACAAAATAATGTATATTGTAGAGCTGTATCCAGATCAACAAAGTCACAAACTATCCGTCTCCCCAAACCTAGAACAAATGCTCAGAGAAAACGCTTTTTGTATCGGATGTCACACACCTGGAACACTATGAAATTGTAGAGGCATGGAACAATGTGCAATAACTTTTGGAGAAATGTAAAATAGGTATTTTAGATATATGGCGGTCATGTAAGCTAGCTTTGTTTCTGTCACTTGGTGTTTTTGTGGAGTTTCTGTACATGTTTATGTCTGTATAAGTTATTTTATGTGTGTCAGGTGTATATGTTAATTGACCACAGGAAGAATAGCTGCAATATGAATTGTTAAGCTAATTGTGGATCTAAATAAACTCAAACTCAAGCTGTCCCCAGCAAACACAGCTTTCTGCAACTCAGTTGTTTGTGTCCTTGTGGTACATACTTGGGAAGCATGTATAATAGAGAAAGGAATTTCAACTAGTCTACTTGTATATGTACATGTAAAAATTGTAAATTTCCATGTAGGACCCCTGCCCTATCCAGACCACCCTTCAGGATGAAAGTTGTTACAGACAAGTGACCATCGCCTGCCCCAAATAGCAATGGACAAGGGTCGGGATGGGTCATATGGTCTGGTCAACCCTTAAGGGCACTATCAGAATGTACATATCCGTTCTTGATCTTGTACGTCGAAGAAAGCTGATTTAAATGCAGGAAAATGCAGTTTCGTACGCTTCTGTGTGTACACAGTTTTTGTACCATCAGATTTTTGCCTGCGTGTAAATTGGATCTTACTTGGCTAGTGGGCATGTAAGGATTTTTTTCGCGGTACTTCTATATTCGCGGACACTTCTGTACTGCGACCTTATCATTATTGTGAACAAATAATTCGCCGACTTTCTTTTTTTCTGCATCTGCCGCCATCACGAACATGTAATTCTGCAAACATGTCCATTTTTCTCAGACTGCAGACTTTTGATGCCGTGAATACAAAGTAATTTACAGTATACTGTCCTCTGGTTCACTGTAATTGATATAAGCAACTGGTTCTATGTACATGTCCGAAGATGTTCCAGATGTTTCAAGGTGTACATGATACCTTTGTGTTTTGTAGGTCATTGCAAAACACAAACTGGTATTTAGGTTATATACTTATAGATGACCTACATCACTAAGTTAGGATACAAGTTTTGTTTATTTAGTCTCAACTGTAGTCAGGGCATGAGTTGATCTTTCTGGCTAATCTTTCTATTTGGGCGGTGGCTATAAGTACAAGGGGTACAAAATGTAGGATACAATAAACAAAACTATACATAGTGATGATATCACAAAGTTTATATAAGCTACATTTTCTTAACAATAAATTGGAAATTCAGTCAGTTATGCAATTCTTGGGCAAGCACATACACAAACCCAGAAAAAAACATCCAAAACAATACTTCCATAATGGAACATAGAAATACATGTATTATTCTAGAGATCTACTGTTTGGAAAATGTAGACTCATCTGATGAATCAACTATTCAGGACTTCCCTCTTTTGCACCAAGACCACCTAAGGGGTAGTCTAGTGGACTTTAGGAAGTCTAATTCCACTTTGGCCACTGACCA